TTTGACAGCTTTTAACCTATCATCAGCGTTCACTGTGACACAAGAGGTCAAGTGGGAATTAACTCAATAGCTACTGGATTTTGCCAAGAAATTGTACTGTTAAGTGTTAAGGTTTTTAACTCCTGAAACTTCCTTGTGCCATCCATTCTATGCCTATTTCATTTAACATATATCCATCATCCTTTGATGAGGTAAGCTGGAATGTCAAGATTCCACTTAAATATACACCAACTAAATCAATGCTCTCTCAAAGGGGGCATGGATTTTTTTCATTTGGATTCACTTGATCCTCAGCTCCTGAGGAACAAATACAAAAGCAGCACATAACCAATTGTCTTAACATTAATGAACAGATTAGGATTTCTCACCTACATGATATTTCATTTGTTGCATACCTTGTGTCTCCATGAATGAGAATTCCCTGGACAAAGAAATAATATAGTCAAAAAGCAACATCCCAGACACTGATCATCTTTACTGTTTTCCAAAAGTCACAGTATTTTATCCATTGACATAAACTCAGATGTTCGTTTAACACAACAGCAATCAATGTAAGTGCATTTGGTTTAACATCAGCTTGTCTCAATAATGACACATTTTTATGCACCAGGATCTCCCAGTTCCAAAGTACAATGTCCCTCAGGATATACTTTGTACTTATATAATAAAATAGACATGGATGCTAATCATTTGCCCCAGTAACAGTACCTGGCTTTACCCTATGAGTTTTGTGGGATATAAAAGAAGACATAATTGGTCACTGAAGGCACCACCACATTCGCTGCATTTACAGGCAATACCACATTCAGTGTATTCATAAGATTTCTCTGCTGCACAAATGTGTTTTCTCCTGATGGCTCACTTCTGGGAACAGGCTGTCCCACAAGTACTGAGTCCCGATTTGATAGGATCCCACTGCTGTTTACTAAAGTCTGAGATGCCACCGAAGGGATTTGCATAGTCACTGGACTGACAGGGTTTTCCGCCTGCGGATTGCGGGTATGTGATGAGCTGTGATTCCCTGCGGAAGGGTCTTTCACTATGCTGGAATCTGCACATCTCTCTCCTGTGGGTATTGTGTTATGGGGAATGGGAGTGTACAAGTACAGAAATTTATTTCCACACCCACTGCAGCGATAAGGTCTCTGTCCTGTGTGAGATCTTTGCTGTGCCAGGAGTGTCTGCTTCATGAGGAAGGCTTTTCCACATTCACTGCAGCGAAGGGGTTCCTTGCCTATGTGAATTTTTTGATGGTTAATAAAACTTGACTTGCGGGAATAAGACTGTCCACAGATAATGCAAACAAAGGGGCACAGTCCCGTGTGCACATTCCCATGTACTTTGAGGTGAGATTTTTTCCGAAAAGCTTTACCACATTCGCCACATATGTGGGGTCTCTCCCCAGTATGTGTTTGCTGATGAAGAAAAAAATTTCCCTTATGAATGAAACCTTTTCCACATTTGCTGCACACATAGGGTCTCTCTCCAGTGTGAATTCGCTGATGAATAACAAGATTTCCCTTTTGAATGAAGCCCTTTCCACAGTGATTGCACACATAGGGCTTCTCTCCGGTATGAATTTTCCGATGAGTACTGAGATTTCTCTTTCTGGAGAAGGCTTTGCCACATTCGGGGCAGATGTGGGGCTTTTCTCCAGAATGAACAGGCTGATGTTTTTTGAGTTGTGATTTCAGGAGAAAGGCTTTGCCACATTCTGGGCACCGAAAAGGTTTTTCCCCTCTGTGTGTTGTCCGAAGATGATGAGTGAGCATAAACTGTCTGGAGAAGGCTTCCCCACAGAGAGAACATTGGTGAGGTTTCTCTCCTTTGTGCATGCTCAGGTGCTTAATGAGCCAAGACTTCCTGGTGAAGGCTTTCCCACACTCACTGCAGACGTGTGGTTTCTTTATTTTGTGAGTGTTCTGATGCTTTGTGAGTTGAGATTTGGTGCGAGTGCATTTTCCACTTGGGGGGAATTTTATTTCTGTTTGAAATGGACCATGGTTAGCATGGAGAAAGGTTTTCTCATCTCTGTTCAACTCAATAGAGTTCATTACTTCATCGCTTCTGTTCTTGCTGTTTAAAGTTAAATTTGACTTCATAGGTTTATCATGAAAGGCAAGTACACTAAGCTTTTGCCTTAGCGGAAACTGACTTTTGTACCAAGAAGAAATATGTTCATAGGCATTATGTTCATCTCCTTGTTCCACTCCAGTCACCCAGCTTTCATTTCCCACATGCTCAGGCAGATGATCATCCACGTTACAGATTTCTAGCAGGAAAAAAAAATTCTTCCATCATTTGGATTAGTAATGAAAGTGGATTTTACAATGCTTTGATGTGAAGTGCTCTTTAGTACCAATCCTATGATGTGAACGTAAACAATCTAACTTAATGTTCCTTAAAGACTAGTAAAAATACAGAAACATCAACAATCCAAACAGTAAAAGCAAATAGCATAGACGCAAGGACAGAAAATATTTAATGAGTGAAGACAAATTTGGCTGCTGGCAGAGTACTGAGGGAATGTGAAGTACAGAGAAGTAAACAGCAGACCACAGGGACTGGAGGGCCACCTGATCCAAACTAGTGCAGGATGGACATCTTGATTCCACAAGTTCTCACAGAATGACAACTACGTACCAGGTATATTTGGGTTCGTGAAGAATGCAGAATGGGGCATTTGGGACCACATGACTTTTATATAGGCAAGTAAAGGTGTTGCACATATATAAATATGTTCTTCATAGCTACAAAACCCCCACACACACTGAAAGCCACTAAAAATAAGCATGAAGAAAGTAGCTGTACAATAAAGTCCTGATGTGGGCCGCTACATGTATGAACCTAGAAAACGTGCTAAGCAAATTAAGGCAGTCATTAAGGACCAGTACTGCATGATCTCATTTGTACAAAGGAAGCAAAGTTATAAAACTCATAAATGATTAGTCATTGCCACTATAAGCGCCTGGTAGTGGGATAAATGTTGCACAAATTGACACACTAAATAAAACATGTAAAAATTGGTGACTGGTTATGTTTTCTTTTTTTGTTAATAAATCATTTTACTGGGGGTTCTTACAGCTCATATAACAATCTATACATCAATTGTATTAAGCACATTTGTACATATGTTGCCATCATCTGGCTATGTTTTCTTGGTATATTTTTATCACATTGGAAAAAAAAAGTAGCTGGGAATTGTGAAAAACTGTATGAGAAGGTGAGGAGAGAGAGGAAAGATGACATGATTTGAAACGAGAGAAGGCTCACTGATAAATTCATTGTTGTGGGGTTCGGGTACAGGGTAAAATAGAGTTAAGAATCAAATATTGCCAGTAAGCATTTAGACTGAGCCAGAGACTAGCACTGCCTATTTTTTTTCCTTTGGCTTCATCAAATAGACATTTAGTTTCTCAGCATTTAAGTGGCTAGAAATCCAAATTTAGAGGGCCAGCGCTAAGGGAAGGCTTCCTCTCTGTGTTGGCTCTGGACTAAGATGCTTGTCTCTTTGAGCTTCTGCTCCTGTGAAATTTCCATATGACTTGTCACCTCTCTTCCCCATCTCTGCTTACCCCCTTGTTTAATCAATCCCTTCTATATATCTCTCAAGTGAGATGGTGTCATGACACACCTTATATGAATCCTGGTTAATTAAATGAACAAAGACAGCACATGCCCAGCTGGAATTATAACCACAGGCATAGAGGTTAGAACTTACAACCAATGGCTCATGCTGTCTTTTAACCAGATGAAGAATAGGATATGTACATTTTTAAAAAAGATGAACATCACAGTTTTGAGTCATCTCACATTTAAAGCTTTGGAAGAGAATTCTCCTGAAGGAATGAAGCAAATACAGCAGTGACACTAACTGAATGAGGAAGGGATCGGAACCGGTCGCTATACAGAGGACTAACTTGAAGTGGACGTGAGTTACGATCTGGATTGGGTTGCAAATGAGCGTGCAGGATATTAAAAATGTGTCTCTAGATAAAAAACGAGTAGAATAACAGAGATCTCCACAGCAGTGAGGCTGGCAGGTAGAGAACATTTGAGGTAACTGCCGAGATGGCTGCGATGTCATGGGTACCACAATACAGGAGAACCTACTGTAGTAAAGTGACAAGGGACATGGATGGACAAGAAGCCTGTCCCGGGGGGCGAGGAGGCATTCGTGACAATGAGAAGGCCTGCTTGCTTGCAAGGCCTTGAGGAGCTCTCCTACACTGTAGAAGGGGACGTATTCCATTTCCATAGGCTTCCAAATTTTCCCTGCATACTTCCTGGTGCTGATTGTGGGTTGTAGCCTGCTACTCCGGATCCCTCATTGTGTACCTCGTTACTTTCTCAGTGAGTCTAATTGAGTTAATATTTATATAAATTTGATCAAATATCTATTTAATAAAGCCATAGCAGCATGCTATGTGGCCCTGGAACGCTTGACCAGATTGTCCTACGGCAGCACCCCAATCAATGTTCCTGCTTATTCCTCCCATCACACAAGGGCACCTTAATAAGATGTTCCATGGGATATCTTGTGGCAACCACCTCACAGCCCTGATTTGATTCTTTATGATTTATTTCCTACTCTTAAAAAAAAAAAAATCAGTAAAGGTCCTTCAAATGTCCTCAGGAAGTAACCTAGAAAAGACTGCAGTGCACAGTTACATCCTGAGGACCATCACTCAGTGTTTCAGGGACAGATTAAATGGGAGGTACCATTGCCACCAAAAGCGTCTTTACCTTGATAGGGCTTACGTTCAGAGAGAAAGTTTGCATTTTCCACGTTTATGTGCTGATTTCATTTGACTATGAACGTTTTGCAAGCCCCTGGTATTGCTCTCTAAACGCCTGCAGAGAAAACAAGGTTTCTAAGGAGTAAAGGCTACATAGAGGTACTGTTAGGCATCCTCTGCCATCCCTCACAGCTGTGAGGTCTTCTCTGACGAGCACATGACCTTCCAGGTTGTCTGCCTGGAGGGATTTCGGTTGCTCACCTGAAAGGTCTGGACCTTGGACTTCATCCGATGGCTGGCATGGCAATTCTGCTCGTTCCAACCTGGAGAGTGCATCGGGTTTGGTAACTTCACACCCTGTTCATAGGAAACCAGATAGACCAAATAGGGCTTGGGTTTGGAAGGCTGGAGAGAGTTACTTTTGGGAAAATAATCTCCTTTACACAATCAAGGTTTTTCTCTCAGGAGTGGGGAGTATACGAGGAGGTACCCAAAAAAAACTGGAAAAGAGCTCCGCTCAGTGGAGCTTTTGTTGTATGCATTTTTCACGCTAGGCGAGCATCAAGCAACTCACTCTGAGTTAGTGCACCCAGTGGCATCACCTGGGAAGGTTCTCTCTGGTCACAATGAATTTTTTCACGAAAGCAGTTTCGCTTGAGCCTCATTTTTTGTGATGGCCGATTTAAGAGAACAGTGTGAAATTTTGTTTCCTGCTCAGGAAAAATGCCGCAGAAGCAGTGGTGATGCTGAACACATCTTACAAGGACCACGCTATGGGAAAAACTCAAGTGTACAAGTAGCTTTCTCATTTCAAAAAAGGTGAAATGTTGATTGATGACAAACCTTGTTCTGGACATCCATCAACTTCCCAAACAGATGAAAACGTCAACTTTCCGAATGGACCAAAAGTTTGTTCCGGGTCAGACTGTTAATGAAGCTTTCTATTTATAAGTTCTAAAAAGCTAGTGTAATTGTTGCAACAAAAAAGCCTAATTTGTGGCAGATGGGGGCTGGTTTTGTCACCATGACAATGCACCTACACATGCAGCCATCTCAGTACACCAGGTTTTGGCAAAAAATCAGCTTGCCTCTCTTACCCCACACACCTCTCACCTGACCTCGCTCTGTGCAACTTCTTTTTGTTTCCTTGAATGAAGGAAGGACATGAAAGGACAGAATTTGACAATGTGGAAGAGGTGAATGAAAAAATGAAGGCGGTACTGTCAACCATCTAAACAGATGAGTTTGAAAAATGTTTCCAAGAATGGAATCGCAGATTTGACAAATGTATTGTGTAATGGAAAGTACTTTGAAGGTGATCAAACTGTTTTGTAACAAAATTTAAATACATAGCTTTGAAAAAAAGAATTTTCCGCCTCCTGGGTACCCGTCATCTACATTCTGATGTTAGGTCAGAGTCTAGAGCAAGAATCTCCTGCATCAGAAGCCTGAAAACATTCCAAAGGTTTTGACAGCCAAGAAAGAAAAGGTTAATCACAGGGCATTCTGAAAGACAGTGGGAAGCTGTCCTCACCCAAAGACACCAGGTGGCTGAAGGTCTCCAGCATCACATCCCGGTACAGGTCCTTCTGAGCAGGGCCCAGGAGCTGCCACTCCTCCCGGGTGAACTCCACAGCCACGTCGCGGAATGCCGGTGATACCTGTCACAACAGGGTCCTATTTAGTGAAGTGATTTGCTTCGGACTCTTCGGAGAGTAGTTCAGCCATTTCATCTCTCTGTGTTTCATCTCAATCATGCATCCTTTCATCAAGCGAGGTGTTTCTATAAAATGTAGCAAGGAAGGCCACCCAGCTATGACAATAAAGTTTTCACTTGTAAAAAAAACACATAGCAGTGAAATTCTCTAAGTTAGAAATGTTCTCTCTCTTACACACACAACCAGTGTCTATATATCGGTACACATGAATATGTACTTGTGCATATGTATAAATGTGTGTACATAAGTATGTGTATAACCATCTATTTGTTAAGAGGTAAATGATAGCAATATTGAGAATACGATAGATCCCTGCAATCAGTGAGTCTTCCGAGCCAGTATCTGACTCTATGGTGAAAGATGCAAGATGTCAGAATAGGCAAAGAATTACACCCTGAATAAAACCAAACCAAACTCTGCCATCGTGTCAATTCCAACTCCCAGCAAGCTGACTGGACAGCGCAGAACTGCTCCGGTGGGTTTCCAAGGCTGACTCCTTACAGGAGTGGAAAGCCTAGTCTTTCTCCCACGGAATAGCTGGTGCTTTCGAACTGCTGACCTTGAGGTTAGAAGCCCAACCCGCACCTACTCAAAAACAGGTCATTCACATATTGAATAAATGTGAATTTGTGGTAAAAATGTAAAAGAAACTATCAACATCTAAACCAATGCTCACTCTTTTTAAAAACGGTTTTATTGGGATGTCATTCACGTATCATACAATTCAATAGTTTAATTTAAAAAAATAGTTCAATGAATTAAGCCATGTTGTACAACTATCATCACAATCAATTTTAGAGCATTTTCTTTCTTGTGCTCATTGTTATTAGCTCCCCATTTCCCCCAACCTCCCTGCCACACCCCCAAGGAACATTAGTTACTGTCTCTACAGATTTACCTATCCTGTTATTTCATAAAAACATACCCCCCCCAAAAAAGAAAAAGAAAATAGTAAGAGTGAAAAAGAGAAAAACCTCAATCAAAAAGAAAGCAGGAAAAAAACAGAAAAAATAAATAAATTTTAAAAATAAAAATAATAATAAAGCAGAAAATACTAAAAACGAGAACAATTTTAAAATGAGTCAAAAGGGACATCAAATGATAGTGCTAACTTTTAACCTACCTGCATTTGCAATGATGTACTCTGCATCGTAGCAAGGCTATTCACAATAAACCTATCACACCTGACCTATGGTCAAAGAGGATGGCTGCTTCCGAGGCTTAATCCACATGTATTTCCCCTTCCTTTAAAAAAAAAAATCTGAAACAACTTTAGAATGGATCAAAAGGGAGAGCAAATGGTATTACATTTTAACCTCACTACATGTGCCACAATCAACTCTCTGTCTGACAACCACACCAGGGCTCTTCCAATATGCGGTTGAAGAAATGATGCAGAAAGTAGCAAAAAAGGGAGTGTGAATGCCTGAGAGAGGTTCGAAAGCAAAGGAAAAGAGCGACCATGCCTCAGACGGGACTATACATCACTTCGGAGAGAGAATCAAGGTAAGTCACAGCTATCTCCAAAGGCCGCCCTCTGCCCATGACGACCATTGCTGACTGAATGAAATGCGTGGAGCAGGCGGATTCTAAGTAGTCCGTGACGATATCGACTCCATCGCGAGTCCCTTCCCCGTGAGTGCTGGCTCCACGGTGGTTTGCACTAACCCAGTGGTTCTCAACCTTCCCCGTGCCACACCCCTTTAACACAGTTCCTCACGTGGTGGTGACCCCCAAACAAGAAAATTATCTTTGTGGCTACTTCATCACTGCCATTCTGCTACTGTGATGAATCGGGCAACGCCTGTGACAGGGTCGGTCGACCCCTAAAGGGGTCAAGACCCACAGGTTGAGAACCGCTGCTCTAACAGCTTCCGGCAGAGGTGATGGATTGCCCTTCTAGGATGCTATTCCGTACTTGCCACGTGTGTGGCTTCTGTCATGCTGGTTTTCATGAAGTCAGTTGCCGTACTGGGGAAGGCAACTAGCCAAGTACTTGAGGGCTCCCTCTGTCCACCAGACCATGAAGACAGAGGTCCTGTCCTCCTGGGCACGAAATCACGACCACGAGGGGAACCGAGTGGTAGTCCTACAAAATGATTTACAGTCTTGCTCGATGGTGTCGGATGCTGACGTCTGCGTCTGAGCTTCTCTCTCCCCAGTACCTACAGTTCCAAATGCATCCTTTTCGGATGACCCAAACTGACATTTGACAGGCCTCTAGAAGCGCATTCCGGCCCAGAGGAAAACGTACAACAAGCCAAAAACATCACCTGAGCCTTGATCATTTTCTGTCGTTCTTGGGACTTGGTCAGCAACTGGGATGCTGTCTTTGTGTTTCCTGAATCTGCTCCAATTTCTGTTGAGAAATTCGACTTCCATAAAGGGTGTCCCCCAGAAATGACAATCCCCAACTTGAGTCACCTCTTCCTCCTTCCTTCAGGTGACTGTCAAGCTGCTGGGGACTCGACCTGTGGACTGAAGGAAAAACCTGTGTCAATAGTACATTCGCCCTGGGGCCAGACGCTGTGCTTCTTAGCGTCACTCAGTGCCATCAAGTTGATTCCGGCTCACAGCGACCCATGAGCACAGAATAGAAGTCCCCTTGTGGGTTCCCTAGGTTGTCAATCTTTCTGGGAGTAGCAAGTCTCAGCGTTCTCATGTGGAATGGCTGGTGATTTCAAACGGCTGACTTTGGGGATAGCAGCCCAATGACTAACCCACTGTATGACACCAAGGCTCCTTAACACTAGATTCCTCCTACTGGTTACAGTCCCTCTATTGGCTGCCCCCAAACATTTTTCACTCCAGGATTCAGAAAACTAGATACAGTATAATAATTAAACAAATGGCCCATCCATTGCTGTGGGGGGGGACCAGCCCCTCACAACCATATCACGGGTCTGATAGGTGCAACTGTACGGTTATGATATATAAAGATGATAGCAAAGTCATAGAAAATAAGAGAAATGGAAGAGAAGGTAAAATAAATGAGTCAGACACATTTCATGGTAGCACGCTCACCTCCTGCACAGCCATGATCTCACCAGCCAGCGAGGGTGGAGGAGAGGGGAGAAGGGAGAGGGAGCGATTTATTTCTAACCAAGGTTTATATATCTTTTGGGGTGTGCAAGCCACCTAATTACAGGTAAAGACATACGTCACAAGAAGGGGTTGTACTATAGGTAACACAGTAATGGGAGGGGATGACCTAGGGGTATACACACAGTAGGAAGGGTTAGGACTGGGGGTACATGTGAGAAGATGGGCAGATCCTAGATTCAGGATGGCAGCCTAACTTTGGACATCACTGAATAGGTTTGACTACTTCTCTGGTTCTCCATGGAAACAATTACTATTCTTATAGTAGGGTGTGAGCCCCATCTACAGTGGATCACACAGTGGTCTGATTGCTCTGGATGGCTGATGCCTTCAGGGAGATAATTTGACAATCATTTACGTTAGTTGCAAGCAGTGTCCTAGTTCTGACATATATTTGGGGGAGACGAGCTGGGGAACAGTCATTTTATAACCCACAATTCGCCCTTTTGTTTTATATATAAAATTCAAAAGAGCCACCGGGGCAGCATGGTTACTTTCTATACATTGGAAGCTGTCAAGGCAAATTTAATGACCAAATTAATATAGGCAAGCCCAAAACTCAGGCTTATGACAAGCATTTTGAATCCAGGGTGGGGGATAAAGCCCCCCTATACCCATCTACTCTTGGGGGAAGGTATGAGAGGTATTGGATGTCGCAGCAGGAAGAGAGAGAGCAAATGGGAATGTCTGCTTCTATAGGCAGACAGACTCAACCATGTGCTCACTTTAAGGCAGCATAACTTTAAGGGGAGAAACTGGAAAACACATTCACTTGTCTAAACCACGGCTTCCACACCACTGTCCGGGGAAGACACGACCTGTCCGCGCAATCAAGGTTCAAGGGGCCCTTGCTTTGTCCTCACAATCTCCTAGACCGCCGTTCCCAACCTGGGGGTCGCGACGCCTTTGGGGGTCGAACGACCCTTTCATAGGAGTCTCCTAAGACCATGGGAAACACCTATTTCCGATGGTCTTAGGAATCGAGACACCGCTCCTCTATCGTTTCCAGGGGGGTCCGCCCACATGCAGATACGCCCACCTATGAGTCCCTGCGTGAAGATTGTGACCCATGCTACGCCATGCTTCCAGACAACACTTCATTGATTTGTCATTAGAAACAGATATTGCACAATATAGAATGACATATTGTTTTTGTGATTCATCACGATGCTTTAATGATGTTCAATTTGTAGCAATGAACATACATCCCGCCTATCGGATATTTACATGACGGTTCATCACAGTAGCAAAACGAAAGTGATGAAGTAGCAATGAAAATAATGTTATGGTTGGGGGGTCATCACCGCATGAGGAACTGTATGAAAGGGTCACAGCATAAGGAAGGTTGAGAACCACTGTCCTAGACCACAGACAAGGACCACCATCCCGCCCTTATGAACGTGAACCCTGGAAACACACACACACACACACACACACACACATACACACACACCTATGATCCAGGTCCAAAGTTCACCCCCACATTAAATCCCGCACCCAGTCCAGACACTGCCCCATCGTAGGCACACACACACACACACACACATACACACACACACACACACACACACACCATGACGAGCGGGGTGAGGCACAAAGACCCCGAACCCTGACGGTCAGGTCAACCTGGGTCGCTGTGCGAAGGCGCTCAAGCCCGGTCTGACCCCAAAGGCACCGACTCCCACCTGCTTCCTTCAAGCTCCTCCGCCCGGCGCCGCCCTGGGGACGCCCATGGGTCCTCAGGCCCCCACGTGCACACATCGTCCGCCCTGTGGAAAGAGCAAAAGCCACACGGACCTGACTTCCTCTGCAATCACAAGGCGGTTCTGAAAAGCTGCACTTCCTTCCCCGGACGGCTTCCACTTTCCGACCGACGGCGCGGAAGCCTGGCCGGGCTACGGCGGCCGGCGAGCGCCAGCGAGGTCAGAGGGCGCGCCGACGGCCGCGTTTCCGGCTTCCGCTCGCGCAGTCGTACGGCAACCCCTTAGGGGCGTGGCTTCGTGGAGGCGGCCATATTTGCAGACCAGACGTACAGAGCCCAGGTGGTTTCCGAGGCGTGGTTTGTACTGCTGTGGTGGCTGGCGCGGTGTGATGCCGGAAGCTGTCACTGGGATTTTAAATGCGAGCGGGTGACCCCAACGTGAGCAGATTCCAGAGGCGCTAACAGCCTAACAAGAGGCTAGAAGAGGGAACAGGCTGTCCACTTAGGAGGCATTACTCCCCCACCCACCCCTCCAGAAACAAAAACCACCCACCTCACTGCCATTGCGCTGAGGCTGACTCTTGCAACCCAATAGGACGGAGGACGGCCCCTGTGGGTTTCCCGGACCGTAAATCTCTGTTGTTGGGTGCATCCAGGCGATTCTGACCCATAGTGACCCCATCGATGCACAACAGAAGGACACTGCCCGGCCCTGCGCCATCCGCGCCATGGTTCCCAGGCCTGAGCCCGTGGTTGCAGGCACGGTGTCAATCCATGCCCTGGAGGTCTGCCGCCCCTACACGTCATCAAGCACGAGGTCCTGCTCCAGAGTCGGATCTCTCATGGCAACAAGTCCAAAGTATGTCAGATGAAGTCTGCCATCTTTACCTCCAAGGAGCACTCTGGCTGTACTTTTTTTATTATTATTAAAAAAAATTTGGTGGGGGACTTTTTTTTTTTTTTTTGAGGGACTTCTTTCAAGACAGATTTTTTTCTTCTTTTTTTGCACTCTGTGGTTCTTTCTTTTTAATTTGATAATTTATTTATTTATTGTGGAATTTTTCTTTTTTAAAAAATCCTTTTATTGGGGTCTCTTGCAGCTCTTATCACCATCCATCCATCCATCCATCCATCCATCCATCCATCCATCGTGTCAAGCACATTTGCACATCTGTCGCTATAGTACTTTGCATATTCTTCTCCAGAATCACAATTCAAATGCATGTTCTTCGGTCTTCTTCATTCAGTGTCTAACTTTCACGCGCATATGACGGGTTGTTACACTGTGGTGGCTTGTGTGTTGCTGAGATGCTGGGAGCTACGTCACTGGTATTTCAAATGCCAGCGGGGTCCCCCAAAGTGAACAGGTTTCAGTGGAACTGCCAGACTAAGAGCAGACTACGGAAAAACAATTCCACTGCCCACTTCACAGGAAGGAACTGCTGGTATAGAATGGAACATGTAAACCTCTAGGGAGTAGAAAGTTTCCTCTTTCTCCCAAAGAAGGAAGGGTGTCTAGTGGTTTAGAACTGCTGGCTTTCCTTCCTCATAAGTTTAAGGCATTAGAACTGCTGGCTCTGTGGTTAACAGGCCAACATGTAACCCAGCGAGCGGGAAATCTTTATGAATAGTAGGGAAACTCTGTTAGATAGCGTGCCACAAGATGAGGCCCTCAGATGCGACGGCACTCAAAAAGAGACAGGGAAGAGAGACCTCCTCTAAGTAGCTTGACCATAATGATGGTGCATGAAATCTAGCTTTGAGGATCTTCGTTTGTTGATAGAGCACAACTCAAAATGAGACAAAATGGCTGCAACTATCCATTAGTAATTGAAATGTGGGATATGAATTATGAATCTAGGAAAATTGGATGGCATCAAAATAAAATAGAATCCACAGACATGGATAAAGTATGGTTATCTTCAAGAATGTTAGCTCCTCTTGGATGCTTTGTACTCTCTCAGAATGTCAAGACTAGTACATTGCCCATTTGTTGGATGTATATGATTCACGAGAGGCCTTCATGCCTCAAGATTTACAAAAGCCAACTGTTGCATGAACTCTGGGCTCTTTTCCCTTCTCCCGAGAATGGAGCTGAGTCCCCCTTTTTTGTCTTCTTTAATTGCACCCATAGCTCCTTGAGCCCATTGGACTTGTGGAGTTGGACCCCACAGTGGGGGTCTGCAGGCTTGTCTTGAAAGGGTTCAGTGCTTCAAATCTCCAGGTAACAGGTCGAAAATGAGCGGAGGTTGGGGGCGTCTGAAGTGTTAGGCTCAATGGTGTTCTTTCAGTGAATGAAATCTGACCTAGCTCTGAGTGGCTAGTCACAAGAAGGAAGTGCTGAATGGGGGCTGGTGTTAAAAAGGAACAACAGACTCACTCTCTCACTCACTCACTCTCACTGACTCACTCCCTCACTCACTGACTCACTCCCTCTCTCTCATTCACTCACTCACTCACTC